AGCTTCGAACTTCTCTACCTTCCTATTACCTCTTTATCAATTCTTTGTGTTCCGTGTTAGTGAAGGATTTACTGGAACGGAGAGTGTCTTTGTTCTTCCCGGATGTCTGTCGACGCTGCGCCTGTGGACGGAAAGGTTAATGCTGGTACTGTCAACATGCGTTAATGGAGACGAAAGTGAAAGAGTTGTGCTCATGCGTGAGATGACTTGGAACTCTTGGCTTGCAGTGTATATACACTTCCAACCCGTTCTCGCAAATTTAATAAGTCAATATTGACTTATTAAATATGTGCATAGGTGACATACTTAACATAATAGTTTCCCTTGAAAAGCTTCATAGAAAACACCGACCTTACCTAACCTACTTAGTATGTTAAGATAAGCATCTTATTGCTTCGTAATTACAATTATTACCTAACCTATAATAGGTATAGGTTAAGTAATAATTGTAATTACGAAGCAATAAGATGCTTATCTTAAGATACTAACAAGGTAAGGTAAGGTCGGTGTTTTCTATGAATCTTTTTAAGGGTATCTATTATGTTTAGTATATCACCTATGCACGTAGTTAATAAGTCAATATTGACTTTACGAATTTGCGAGAACGGGTTGACACTTCACATGGAAACCTGATATTTGCATTACTGTATTTTTGGTTTCCACATATACGAATGGTATTTCGAAGCAATAAATTGCTTCACGTAAAAGTACCATCAAACATTATCCATGTCAGACAAACACAACCAGTGCCACTGAATACTTGATGCTTCTCAAGCAATTACAGTTTATAATTTTTTGGCTGGTTTTTATTTATGTAGTTTGTGTGTTTACATTTACTTGCGGTATATGTGTGCTTTCTCAGATCTGTGCCTTTAAGATCCAGACTCAGGGCTATGAACCTGTTTTTCCAACCAAAGCTCTCTATTGCCCTGACTCGTAATCTAAGTTTAATTACTCTTATCTCTTGAAAATTTTAATGCAAATTAATTTTCCATCACTGTTGCTTTAGTTTCTTAAATTTTTCTATATCAGTATGTTCCTAAGTGTCTAAAGTCTCCTCAGATACACTCCTCTTCCACTGGTTTTCATTGTCAACTTTTACCATTTTCATTAAAAAAAAAATATTGGAGTCAATCAGCTTGAGTATTTTGTCTCTAACATGACACCTTTCTCTCTTTCCTTTTCTTGTGAAGTTTGAATCCAAACTTTCAATCTTTCTTCGTGGGTCATCTTACGTAATTTGGAGTTTAGTTTACTACAAGGTCTTTTTCTTTTGTTATTTCAGCGAGGTAGTTTCCCCTTTATTATGTACCTTTGTGATGAGGTTACTGCCCTCTGTCCACCGTTTTCTGTGTTCCCTCGTGGAAAGCTGTGGTCTCACTAAAACAAGTGTAGTTTTCCTCTTACTATTTGATTTGATTTTTCTGAGAGGTGATGTGAGAGGTAAGCTGGACGAGGAAAGCAGTCCCACCTGAAGAGTCCAATAAGGGCAGCCCTCAGGAGCACAAGGCTTGTTACGGGCGAAACAAAAAGTGGCTGCTCGTTGAAGGCGACGGACTGTTTGTTGGTGATTAAAGAGCTACTGGTGATGGAACGACGTATTCCGGGTTGGCCATGGTGTGTTGGAAGGTGGAGTGTCCGTCCGTCAGTCCACTAGGTCAAGGCTTCGTTGTGGCAAAGCCTTGTGAGGAAGTCAGCTAGTGTGCTACTAGAGTGAATGTTAAACCCTTGTGGTAGTACTGTGGAGGCCTGACTAACGAATCGCAGGAAAAGTGGACTCGTCGGTGTGAGTACCTCACAAGAAGGGCACTCAGAAAAGGAGCCCTATGAAATTGTGCTCGAGGGGTGACTCGCCGTGGTAAAAGAATTGCAGAGGTTTTAGAGGTTTTCAGCGTGAAAGTTTCATGTAGGGTGCTATCAGTGGTGTTGTACTTTATTTAAGTTCATTTGCTGCCGGTTTGTCTAGTGTTATTTAAACCAACTTCCTTTTTGGTTGTCTATTTCTGCTAGGATTTGATAACTGCTTGGTCTTGTTACCTTGATTCAACCCAGAGAGAGAGAGAGAGAGAGAGAGAGAGAGAGAGAGAGAGAGAGAGAGAGGAGAGAGAGAGAGAGAGAGAGAGAGAGAGAGAGAGAAAGAGAGAGAGAGAGAGAGAGAGAGAGAGACGGGGGGGGGAGAGAGAGAGAGGGGGGGAGAGAGAGAGGGGGGGAGAGAGAGAGGAGAGAGGGGGGGGGAGAGAGAGAGGGGGGGAGAGAGAGAGAGAGAGGAGAGAGAGAGAGAGAGAGAGAGAGAGAGAGAGAGAGAGAGAGAGAGAGAGAGAGAGAGAGATGAGAGAGAAAGAGAGAGGAGAGAGAGGAGAGAGAGAGAGAGAGAGAGAGAGAGAGAGAGAGAGAGAGAGAGAGAGAGAGAGAGAGAGAGAGAGAGAGAGGGGGGACTAAACAGAATTACAGGCAAAGAGAGGCCGTAACAATTTAAGGCCTCCGGTTGGTCTCCTATCATCAGCAACAATTGCCGTTACCTTACACTTGTTGGATTATAAATCGAGAATCCAATTACGAAATAAACTCGGGTGCTTGTCTAAAACATTTTGGATTACTCTATGCTGTGTGTACTCACTTATTAGTGCTTGCAGGCTCGAGCATTGACTCTTGGATCCCGCCTTTCTAGCTGCTGGTTATTTAAGGCAATGACTTCTGTCATATTTCCATATCATTAACATTAATTCTAGTTTTAAAATTATAAATAGTGTTTGCTTCCACAACGAACTCCTTTAGTTTATTTCATTCTCCCACTACTCTCACGCTAAATGAAAGCTTTCAAACATTTCTGTCTCGATTGAATTTCCAGCTTCCATCCATGTCTCTTTGTCCTGTTGATATTCAGTGTAAACATTTCGTCTATTTGCACTGCCACTCACCCTAAGTATTTTAGAGGTTGCTATCATGTGTCCCAGCTCCCTCCTTTTTTCTAACGTCGTCAGGATCAGCTCCTTCAGTAGCTCTTCAATCTCCTTTCCCTCGCAATTCTGGGACAAGCCTCATCACAAATTTCTGAATATTTTCTAGTTTCCAAATGTGTGTCTTCAGGTGGGGGCTCAATGATGGTGCGGCATACTCTAAGAAAGGTTTCACATTGACAGTATAAAGCGCTCTGAATGTCTACTTAGGTTTCTGAATGGCGTTCTGTCTTTCCCGAGCGTAGAGTATGCTGCCAACCGTGTGAGGCTAATCCCACACTGTTGGGGTTAGCCTCACTCAAATTGGTAGAGGGAAAGGTCTGGGATACGGGATGAACATATACTGGTCGGGGTCTCCAGAATTAAAAAAGGAACAGCGTCCCAGTGCCCCATTCAGACCCCACGACGATTTTTGAAACTGCCTGCTAGCGACACAGCTAAATATTTTCAAAGCAATCTTTTCAAAGAAAGTTTTTTTATAGAAATATGCACTATTATTCACTAATTTTGTGAGAATTAACAAATTTCCTTCTGTCAATTTGCCCGTACTCTCGTAAAACTGACGACGATTCTTACACAGCCTCAAAGGTTTCTCAAGCATAGGCTCTTTACCAGCATAAGGGATAACTAATATTTTTTTTTTATTTCACACCACTGAGCTCCTCTCATTGGCGACAACCCACACGTTAGACACATATATTTTGTTAATAAGAGACAGACAGACAGACAGTACCTGGCGTACTCTACAAGTACTTTATCCACTCTTGAGGATATCGTCATATTACTTATGAAGTTTTCCCCATCCAGACTGTTGAGAGAGATTCATAGAGAGAGACAGGAAGAGAAAGCAGTTTCAAGCAGTCTCCGTGGTGTAGTGGTAAGACACTCGCCTGGCGTTCCGCGAGCGCTATGCCATGGGTTCGTATCCTGGCCGGGGAGGATTTACTGGGCGCAATTCCTTAACTGTAGCCTCTGTTTAACGCAACAGTAAAATGTGTACTTGGATGAAAAAACGATTCTTCGCGGCAGGGGATCGTATTCCAGGGACCATAGGATTAAGGACTTGCCCGAAACGCTACGCGTACTAGTGGCTGTACAAGAATGTAACAACTCTTGTATATATCTCAAAAAAAAAAAAAAGATACATAGACAGTAGATAGATGGATAAGTAGGTGGAAGGATAGATGAATAGACAGATGAGTAGATGGATAGATTGATGGGGAAATGAATGGTTAGACAAAGATGGATGGACATCTATCTATAAGGACAGATAGATGGAAAGATTGTTAGGTGAATGGATGGATAGAAGACTGAGCAGGTACTTGGATAGTTAGATGGATAGATACACAAATGATTATTTCTTTCACTTTGCTACTTCATTCACTGAGCCGAAAAAATTAACAGAATATTTCTAATATTCATATTTTATCAGTGACCCTATTAAACACATAAGTTAATGTAGCCACCGCTCCTCCCACAGCCAGATAATTCTCCCACTCATAGAAAACTGAAACCCAACTCACAAAATTTATTGGGAAACTAATATATATATATTGAGCAAATATTGTTATTAGTAATACGTTATTAGTAATATTTTATTATTAACACAAACGTAGGTGGTGGGGGTGAAAGAGACCCGTACATTTTCTGAAGGAACCGAGGAAAGTTTAAGGGGGAGAGGGGGGAATCTAAGGGGAGGCGAAGGAAGGAGACAGGTGGATGGTAAGACGGGGAGGGACAAGGGGGATGGGGTCAAGGTGGTGACGGAAGAGGAGGGTGGGAGGAGAGGTAGAATATACCCGGCACTTCCGGGTCCCTACCTAATATTATATTTTATGATAGAGAAGATAGGCTAAGGGGGGGGGAAGGGTGTAAACGATGGGGGAAGTGGGGTAGAACGAGGGAGATGGGTGGAAAGGAAGAAAGGAGGGGGGGGGGGGAAGTCCGAGGAACTGGAGGAGAGAGTTGGGTAGACGAGCGGACGGGCAGGAAGGGGAAGGGGAGAAGGAGAGGGTCGAGTAGAAGGGAAAGGGTAGACAGAACATGGGAAAGGATGGGGAGGGCACTGATCCGACGAGCCCAGGGCACCCTGGCCCCGTCGGGTTCTTCCTGGCCCCGTCGGGTCCTTCCTGGCACTGTTGGGTCCTTCCTGGCACCGTCGGGTCCTTCCTGGCACCGTCGGGTCCTTCCTGGCACCGTCGGGTCCTTCCTGGCACCGTCGGGTCCTTCCTGGCACCGTCGGGTCCTTCCTGGCACCGTCGGGTCCTTCCTGGCACCGTCGGGTCCTTCCTGGCACCGTCGGGTCCTTCCTGGCACCGTCGGGTCCTTTCTGGCACCGTCGGGTCTTTCCTGGCACCGTCGGGTCCTTCCTGGCACCGTCGGGTCTTTCCTGGCACCATCGGGTCCTTCCTGGCACCGTCGGGTCCTTCTTGGCACCGTCGGGTCCTTTCTGGCACCGTCGGGTCTTTCTGGCACCGTTGGGTTCTTCCTGGCACCGTCGGGTCCTTTCTGGAACCGTCGGGTTCTTCCTGGCATCGTCGGGTCCTTCCTGGCACCGTCGGGTCCTTTCTGGCACCGTCGGGTCCTTTCTGGCACCGTTGGGTCCTTCCTGGCACCGTCGGGTCCTTTCTGGCACCGTCGGGTCCTTTCTGATACCGTCGGGTCCTTTCTGGCACCGTCGGGTCCTTCCTGGCACCGTCGGGTCCTTCCTGATACCGTCGAGTCCTTTCTGGCACCGTCGGGTCCTTCCTGGCACCGTCGGGTCCTTCCTGGCACCGTCGGGTCCTTCCTGGCACCGTCGGGTCTTTCCTGGCACCGTCGGGTCCTTCCTGGCACCGTCGGGTCCTTTCTGGCACCGTCGGGTCCTTCCTGGCACCGTCGGGTCCTTCCTGGCACCGTCGGGTTCTTCCTGGCACCGTCGGGTCCTTCCTGGCACCGTCGGGTTCTTCCTGGCACCGTCGGGTTCTTCCTGGCACCGTCGGGTCCTTCCTGGCACCGTCGGGTTCTTCCTGGCACCGTCGGGTCCTTCCTGATACCGTCGGGTCCTTCCTGATACCGTCAGGTCCTTCCTGATACCGTCGGGTCCTTCCTGATACCGTCGGGTCCTTCCTGGCACCGTCGGGTTCTTCCTGGCACCGTCGGGTCCTTCCTGATACCGTCGGGTCCTTCCTGATACCGTCGGGTCCTTCCTGGCACCGTCGGGTCCTTCCTGATACCGTCGGGTCCTTCCTGATACCGTCGGGTCCTTCCTGGCACCGTCGGGTCCTTCCTGATACCGTCGGGTCCTTCCTGATACCGTCGGGTCCTTCCTGGCACCGTCGGGTCCTTCCTGATACCGTCGGGTCCTTCCTGATACCGTCGGGTCCTTCCTGATACCGTCGGGTCCTTCCTGGCACCATCGGGTTCTTCCTGGAAACATCGGGATCTTCCTGGCACCGTTGGGTACCCATCCTGTATGTATGGTTAGATGGAGAGACAGAAGGATGGATGGATGAATACATGCATGGGAGAGACAGACCCGGGCAATGAAAGGTACCTTTCCCTAGTATGATAAAAGAGAGAATGTCTGTTCGAAGTTGGAGGCCTCACGGTTGGGGCTTAGCTCACCTAAATTGGCAGAGGGGAGGGTCTGGGGTACGGGATGAACATAAGTCGGTCGGGGTCGCCGGAATTCAAAGGGGATTTTGAAAAGGGAACAGCGTGCCGGGTTTCATTCACAATCACACAACTATTTTTGGCACTGCCCGCAAACAGCCCATTACTAAATATTTTCAAAACTAACTCTTCAATATTATTTTTTTCTTATAGTAATATGTATCCTTATTCACTAATTTATTTAAAAATACATAAATTTGATTCTGTAAATAATTTGCCTGTACTAACATAGAGCACATAACTCTTCCACTTCTTCGAAGGTTTCTCAAGCTATTGTTTTTTATAGAAGAAATGGGTAACTATTTTTTTAATATATCTCACCACTGAGCTCCTCTCATTGGCGACCACTCACACATTAGACAATTATATTTTTTACAAAAGAGAGTGAGACAGAACAGAGAGAGAGAGAGAGACAAGGACAGGGAGAGGAAGATCGACAAAAACACAGAAGAGAGAGAGACAAACAGACAATAATAGAAACAGGTAACGAGTAGATAGATGGATAGATAGAAAAATAGATCGATTGAAAGGTAAATAGAGGTACATATAAAAAGATGACAAAGATGGATGGACAAATGGATGGCATCAAAGGATGAGTAGTGGCTGGATTAATGAATAAATTAATGGATGGATAGAATGATAGATGGATGGATAGATAGATGGATAAATGGATATATTGATAAAGAGATAAGTAGGTGGATAGGTTGTCTGGCTTGAAATGTATATGCTTTCAATCTTAAAGTTAAGATAGATGGTTAAATTGATGGATAGATGCATGGATAGATGATGCGATAGATAAATGGATTGATAGGTGGATAGGATATATGGATAGATGGAATGTTAGACGGACAGATAGATGGACAGGTAGATGAGTGGGTTGAAATACTGATAGTTAGATAGAGAACTAGAGTGTTGGATAAATTGATATATAGCTACATGGAAGGATAGATAAATAAATAGACTATATAGGTAGATGGAGGGATAAATAGATTGACAGATGCGAGACAGACTAATCTAGGCAATGCTGGGTTTCCCTACTAGTATATTATAAGAGAAAATGTCTATCTGTCTGTTAGACGGGCTATTGCCATCAATAATCCAAAATTATTCTATGAATAATTTGGCCGAACTCGCATTAAAGAGACGATCCTTCCACTAATTCAAAGGTTTCTCCTCTGAAGCCTCGGCTCTGTCAGCAGAAGTTGGTAACTTAAAAAAAAATGTTTTATTTAATTTCACGTTACCAAGCTAACGACCATCCACGCATTAAACAAATATATTTTTAATATAATTGTTTATGACAGACAGAAAAAGACAGAGACTCTGATAAAAGCAGAAATAGAGAGACAGCGACTGAGAGTGAGATAGAGATGGAGCCTGACAGAAAGAGTCCCGCAGTCTGCATAAACAGTTTAGCAATCCCCGTGGCTCAGTGGTAAGACACTTGCCCGGCGCTTCGCGAGCGCTATGGCATAAGTTCGTATCCTGGCCGGGGGAGGATTGACAAGGCGCCATTCCTTAACTGTAGCCTTTGTTCACCCAGCAGTGAATGGGTACCTGGGGCCAGATTCACGAAAGCACTTACGCAAGCACTTACGAACCTGTACATCTTTTCTCAATCTTTGACGGCTTTGTTTCCAATTAATAAACAGTTGATGAGCTCCGAAGCACCAGGAGGCTGTTTATAACAATAACAACAGTTGATTGGGAAGTTTTCATGCTTGTAAACTGTTTAATAAATGTAACCAAAGCCGTCAAAGATCGAGGAAAGATGTACACGTTCGTAAGTGCTTGCGTAAGTGCTTTCGTGAATCTGGCCCCTGGTTGTTAAATGATTTGGTGGGTCGTATTCCGGGGAAAAATTAGGATTAAGGACCTGTCTGAAATGCTATACATGCTAGTGGCTTTACAGGAATGTTAGAACTCTAAATAAATAAATAAATGAAAATAAAAACAGGGAGAGAAAGAGACACAAAGAGACAGAGACAGAGAGACACACACACCATGCATATGTAGATACATCTGTCTATCCACCCAACTATCTATATTTCTGTCTATCCATATATTTATCCATCCATCTAACTATCTATCTATCTGTCCATCCATATATTTATCCATCCACCAACATATCCATCTGTCCATCAATCTACATAACCATCCATCTGTTTAGCATCAATCTATCCATCCATCTATCTATCCAGCTATTTATGTATCTATCCATCCATCTTCTCATCTATCTATGAATCATTCCATCTATCCAGCCATCCATCTATCCATTCATCTCTATTTCCGTCTATTGATAGGAATAATTCATTGTATTCGGGAACCTGCAGCCAATTCATACATGCTGTATATGCTAGGTTTTTATCGAGTCCCCCCCCCCCCCAAGGTCTAATTACTGCCCCTGCCCCTTCCAAGCCGCAGCTCCACAGCAAGCTGACTAACTCCTGGGTACCGATGTTACTGATAAGTGGACTGGGGCATTAGGTGATTGGAAACACGCACAATCATTTCTGTCCCACCGGGGGATTCAAACCCGGATTGATAGATGAATGGAATGAATATATGGATTGATAGATGAATATACCGATAAATGGCCAGGTGATAGACCCGGGCATTGCTAGATATCACCCCCCCCCCCCACCTCCTTTCCCAGTATAGACTAAAAAAATGTCTGTCTGTTCAAAGTTTGCGGTCAGACGCTTGGGGCATACCTCAATGAAATTTGCAGAGGGAATGGTCTAGGGTATGGGATGGACATAAGCTGATCGGGATCGTCAGAGTTCAAAAGGGAACAGCATGCCATGGTTTCATTCAGACCCGCTGAGCTGAAAATTTTCAAAGCAAACTTTTAAAAACTAATTCCCTGTTAAACCAATATGCGCCATTACTCACTGATCTCAGAAAAAAAAATACAAAAATCCTGCTATGCATAACTTGGTCACACACGCACAAGCGACCATGACACAGAAATGCTAGAAAATTTGATTATTTATACAAGAGACGTTGACTGAGAGATGCAGAGACACGGAGACGGATAAATTCGTAGAGTAATGGATGGATAGATAAGTGGATAGATACAAGGACAGATGGAAAGATAGATGGATAAGCAGATAAATATATTGATGGATGGATTGAGCACAAGAATGGTGAATAGATAGATAAACTGACGGATAGAAAGAGATATTGATTCATACATGGATAGATGGACAATTCGATGGGTATATATATATATATATATATATATATATATATATATATATATATATATATATATATATATATATATATATATGTGTGTGTGTATATCACGAAAATAAACACGTGATTAAGAATGTGACAATGTCAGACCACGAAGGAAAAATGAAACAGGAAATTTTCCTTAAGTACTTTCGTATATTAAATACATCTTCTGAAGATGTATTTAATATACGAAAGTACTTAAGGAAATTTCCTGTTTCATTTTTCCTTCGTGGTCTGACATTGTCATATATATATATATATATATATATATATATATATATATATATATATATATATATATATATATATATATATATATATATATATATATATATATATATATACATATATATATATATATATATATATATATATATATATATATATATATATATATATATATATATTTCTTGATGCTTCTATATTGGAGCGGAGTCTTGAGGTGGGTAGAATATAGTTGTGCAATAATTGGCTGTTGATTGCTGGTGTTGACTTCTTGATGTGTAGTGCCTCGCAAACGTCAAGCCGCCTGCTATCGCTGTATCTATCGATGATTTCTGTGTTGTTTACTAGGATTTCTCTGGCGATGGTTTGGTTGTGGGAAGAGATTATATGTTCCTTAATGGAGCCCTGTTGCTTATGCATCGTTAAACGCCTAGAAAGAGATGTTGTTGTCTTGCCTATATACTGGGTTTTTTGGAGCTTACAGTCCCCAAGTGGGCATTTGAAGGCATAGACGACGTTAGTCTCTTTTAAAGCGTTCTGTTTTGTGTCTGGAGAGTTTCTCATGAGTAGGCTGGCCGTTTTTCTGGTTTTATAGTAAATCGTCAGTTGTATCCTCTGATTTTTGTCTGTAGGGATAACGTTTCTATTAACAATATCTTTCAGGACCCTTTCCTCCGTTTTATGAGCTGTGGAAAAGAAGTTCCTGTAAAATAGTCTAATAGGGGGTATAGGTGTTGTGTTAGTTGTCTCTTCAGAGGTTGCCTGGCTTTTCACTTTCCTTCTTATGATGTCTTCGATGAAACCATTGGAGAAGCCGTTATTGACTAGGACCTGCCTTACCCTACAGAGTTCTTCGTCGACTTGCTTCCATTCTGAGCTGTGGCTGAGAGCACGGTCGACATATGCGTTAACAACACTCCTCTTGTACCTGTCAGGGCAGTCGCTGTTGGCATTTAGGCACATTCCTATGTTTGTTTCCTGATAGATGGACTCGGATAGATGGACTCTTTCCATCGGATAGATGGACTAATATATATATATATATATATATATATATATATATATATATATATATATATATATATATATGTCGTACCTAGTAGCCAGAACTCACTTCTCAGCCTACTATGCAAGGCCCGATTTGCCTAATAAGCCTAGTTTTCATGAATTAATGTTTTTTCGACAACCTAACCTACCTAACCTAACCTAACCTAACGTTTTTGGCTACCTAACCTAACCTAACCTATAAAGATAGGTTAGGTTTTTGGCTACCTAACCTAACCTAACCTATAAAGA